GGCATCTTATATTCGTCGGTTGGTGTGGCATAAGTGGTTGGAGTAGTGTATGCACTGCTAGCGGGGGTATTATATGCACTACTTGCAGAAACACTGTAGGCATTAGTGGGGGGCACACTGTAAGCCACAGTGGTAGGCGCAGAGTATACCGCTTCCTGGTTGTCATAGTTTGATTGTTTCACCTCGTAAGTGGAATCACTATTCTTCGGCGTTTCATGGCTGGTGTTCTGCAAGTAGTTCAACTAGTCATTCATAAGTAAACGAAATAATTAACATTACCGGTTTTTCTATAGAATTCGCATTCTTGGTATTGGTTCCATATGCGACCTGGGTATCGCGCTGACTATGACCAGAGCGGTCTTGCTTGACCTAATGCAAGAAGAAGCTATACTTTTGAAACTTATTGACGAATAGCTTTGCTTACAATGAATAAACATTAGAAAGAGTTTTGCTTCCTCACTTACCTGCCTTAGATTTTGTAGGTTAAAGTTGCTTCTGAGGAACATGTTCAAGTCAGGAATGTAGATTGGAGCACCCGCAAATACACTTCCAGCATTATTTATAGCATCAAGTGAGATTTTACCACTTGCAGTATCCTCCTAAAGTAAGATTCTGTCTACTTCTTGAAAGAGCTTTAAAAAAGGCACTTTGTTGTTCTGCTCGCCAACGGTTCCTTGATTCACATCAGCTTTTTCATTGGTCTCTTCCTCATGCTCAAGTTTACTCTAAAAAGTGGAAAGCTTTTACATTTTGAATTAGAGCTACAACATTACTCACCTGCTCGAGTGTTTGAGCACCTAAGCCATCATTTCCTAAAACAGTTAAGCCACCTGAGCTCAGATACGATGGCAAAATGGGAATGATCAGAGCGCCACCATTTCCACCATAGCTCAAGGTATTGTACGATCTATGCCCCTCTTCAATAAATTTCTAAAATGTATTGATTGCTTACTCCCTTTCCTTCTCAATGATAAGAAAAACTGAAAAAAGCAAATGTTACTTGTTTGCCTGTCTGCTCAAGTGAGGTTGCAGTCTGGCTTTGCTTCCTAGTGCTTAGAGTAGTGTTTTGGCTTTGCTTTTTAGTTTTAATCTAAATCAGAAGAATTTCCTATGTGCAAATAAAATAGATTTTTTT